GCATGAATGTCGGTAAATTTTATAGAAAATATTCGTTTTTCATAAACAGATATTTTCTTAAATACTTGTATCTATTAACAACGTTAAACATAAAAATGTCTTTAATAAATAAATTGTCGGACCTTGTCCATTTCTTATATATATATATATATATATATATATATATAAAGGTTAATGGCCAGTGTTGAATCAGACCAGGGAACAGTAGTATTAAAAAGTTACACGTGAGAAAAAAATATAAGTAAAAATAAAAATAATGTAGAGCTTTTAAGTTTAAAAATCAACTAAAATACGCGACATGGTTTCGACATGACTGGAAAGGAACGTGAATGCAAGTGCATTATAAATGTGCATATTTGTATTTCCGTCCCCTTTTATTCTTTCCTTCACCTCCTTTTCCACTTTCCCTCCCATTACACCCAGTTTTTTGTCTTTCAATCATAATACGTCTTTTTAAGATAATAATGTAGCGTTCTTTGTGGTTTTTTTAAATAAAGCGTTGAAGTGGTCATTTTAAATGTATCACCCGAAGAGACCGTCAGGTCGAAACCGTGGTCGCGTATTTTAATTGACCTCTTGATTTTTAAACTACATATATATATATATATATATATATATATGTGTGTGTGTGTGTGTGTGTGTGTGTGTGTGTGTGTAACGATATTAATGTTAAAATAGCAATCTTAGATTAGTAAACAAAGAACTTGCGACAGGTGTAAAATAGCGCTCAATGTCAATAAAACAAATATTATCAAGGTGATTTTAACTTGTTTTTATTGATGTGTTCGCGCAATTAAGAATAGCAAGGATATTTTGCACTTAACAAAACCCGTCGACCATTAAATTACTGGAGGGCAGCACGCTTAAGGCGAGCAGAATTTTATAAGCAAAATGCTCAATATAAAAAAATACTGAGAAAATACTTAATAAAGAAACATTCAAAACGACTTATCGACACGACTTCAAGTCTTTCAGATATACCACACGTCATGGTCAGATAAATCTATTAACTTTATTAACAGATACCATATTTATATATGCTACATAAAAAACTCTAATTACTGACGCCAAATTTCAATCTTTTTCTGTAGTAAAGAAACTTTTATACTAAGGATGTCCTTAGGTTTCATTAAGTGTAGCATCATAGGAGACTATGAGGATCTCCTTAGTAGGCCTAGCATAGAAATAAATACAATATAGAAATAGCTAATAAAGAAAGAAAGAAAAATGACAGCAAATCTTCAACAGCAGCAGCAGCATCAGTCAAATATAACAGACAGCAAGACAAGTTAGATTTAAGGCTCCAAGTTTGCTACAGAGACTGGATATCGTGGATTAAGGCGTTGGTTCATGAATTCGATAGTAATTGTGAGTTCAAATACCAAATTCAAATTCAAGTACATAATTCCCTGTAGGTTGCACAGATCGATATACACCTGATGAAGGCCGGAGAACACAACGACGCAGTGATAACTACAACAAAGATGAGGACAATAGACCTAATATAAATAGTGTAAATACTGATAAATCCACAGACAGAAATCACTAAATGTGTATGTGTAGGTCCAGCGGCTGCCCATAAACGCTTGATTGAAAAGCGCTCATCAACAGTAAATATGTTCCCCTACTCTATATAGTCCTGGGTATGACGATAAACTGTATCCGGCAGAAAGGCCTCTAATCGGGTGATTGAAAGTCTTGAGGAGCGTGGAAACACCTCTTAATTGCTGTTGTTTCCAGGTACTCCCTAATCCGAGGTAGTAGCACCTGTTAGTGAACGCCCAAACAATAAAACGCACTATGAAAGTATAAAAACATATATTAAAAATAGCAACTGCATATTTTTTATTTAAAAAATTACCAACAATATATATTTATAGCCAAATAACAAGCAATACATTTTATAGTAGAAATGCCAACAATATATTTTATAGCAAAATGACCAATAATACATTTTATCTGTAGTTGAAGGCATACAATTCAAAAAATAATTAGTTGAAGTCTTGTATTCGAAATATTTAGATTTCGGCATTAATTAACCCATAGAGGTAATAATATGCTGCTAAACAAAATCAACCACTCAACCTATTCTATAACAATGCAAGTCTCTATACAGCAAGAATTACGTAGAAAAAAATATTGTACTCTGTTGGTCTGTAATAATCTATTCGCCGTATCCACACAACCTTGCACCTTTTTCGAGCGCTGCAAAAGGCTTTGATGGGAAATTTTCTTTAATGAAAACTAGTTTCAAGAGATCGCCGAAAACGTTTCACTTCAAAACCAGGAATTTTTGTAATGTAAGGAAGAGCTGCTTCATTAGTGGCAATCGCATGTCATTGCAAATAATGATGAATACATAATTGAATAAATAACGGACGGAAAGTGCGACATCGAAATATGAGGGCGCATTGAAATAGCGAAAGATGCCTTCCAAAAGCAAAGCAAAGTATTAAAAAACAGGAAAATTACGTAACGTAACTGATGCTGAACAATCTCCTCACAGATAAAGAAGAGACTTGAAGCAACAGAAATGTTGTCCTACAGAAAGATGATGAGAATACCATGAACCGAACATGAACGACGAAGTTTTAGAAAAAAGATGAAAACAAAAACGACACTAAGGAAAAACAGTTGGCCACATAATAAGGAAATAAGGTTTGGAAAATTTGATACTCACAAGACATATTAAAGGTAAGGGTTACAAAAGAAACCATGGAATAAGCTACCTAACGGGCTCATCTAAATGGAAGACAGAACCAAGATTGGTAGGGATGATGAAAAGACACATCTTACCGAGAGCGACAATGTATAGGACATTTTGGAGAGTCATTATTATCCACGTCCGGAAGGGAGACGGAACAAAGAAGAAGATAAATTATTTTCGAATGTAAAATATTCATATGCTATGTACTTGTAAAATTCAGTTGTGACTAAAACATGTTGCCAGTTAAAAAGATTTGTGTCCTAATCGGATATTGGAGGTTGGATGCAAAGAGCAAATAACCAGCCCATGAAAATCATATTTAAAATTCATTGCATGCAAACTTTACGCATATCTAAGTATGCAACATACCTTTCTTTATGACTAGAAATTGTCGTGGTTAACAAGGGGTGTAACATTTTTTTTCTTTTCTTTGAAGGGACAGAAGAAAACAAGGTTCAGGAGAAATAATAAAAATATAAAATTTATTAAAAGCTACAAAGGACAGGAAATTGTGGAGAGTCATGATCCTGAAGAGGCATGGTACATAGAAGAAGATCTTTGCTGTTTTAAGTCGAAGGTTTAGGCTACATAATAAGTAAAAGGCTTCAAATGAATACTTCTCTAAATAGGATATGCGGTGAAGTGTAGGGGTTAACAGCTCGGAATTAAAAAAATGTCAGGTTCGCTACATTCATTTATACGCAATTACCGTTGGGAAAGATATGAATCCGTCTCTTCTTCCCCTAGATATGGGTTAAATAGAAGGAAAAATTGGGCCTCATAGCCTTGGTTGTCAACCAGTCTACAGCTGAAAGAAACGGTTGCCTAGTCAGTCATGACTCGAAAGAGACATGATTGCTGAAGCAAGTATAACGTATGGCAGTTAACTAAATGTAATGTAAATTTAACAGGAAAAGAATACATTAGCTAAACGTAATCGGGATGAAACAGATAGTACTGGGTTACATGCTAACAGTAACACCCGTAGAATAACCTGACATGAAATGCACAGTGATTCGAGCACACACGCCAGAGAAGGTGGTTATCCAATCCTGTCAAAGATGTCTGCTGAACATTTGTGTTTGTTTAATACCCATAGATTTCGCCTGTGCTGAGCGGACCTTAGTTACAGCTTCTGAGGGTCAGCGCATCTTCTAGCGTCAGATTGAACAAAGCCAGCAACTTGTAACTTCGGGCTATTGTTCAATTTTTACTCGCACGGCTTGGGTCAAACCGTGGTATGGTTTACGAAGATGCCGTGTGCTGGTATCGCCTCGTCTGACCAACATTATCTCGGAGTTATCAGCCTGACTAATCAAATCGACAATGCTAAGATTTGAACCCATAAACGGAAAGTAAGCATTCTAACCACTAGACCACGCGCCCATAAACTCTATAAATTATAGCGGCTTTTCTTCAGACCTTAGAAAAAAGAAATATCAAGCCGAGAAATCTAAGAAAGCCAAATAGCAATTCCCCGCAGAAAAAAAAACTAATTAAAAAATAAATGAGATAAAACTGTTATGTGTTTGGCCACTCAGAAAATTAAATTGCAATGAGCCCAGACATTTTCAGCAATGCTAAATAAAGTTTAAAGATGAAGCAGAGACTACAAAAAATGTCCGTCTTTCTCTTGTTGCAAATGAAGAATAAAATGTCGTTTTGAATTTTATCTGTAGTTTTCTGTCTCTTTAGACAGACACGTGGGTAGAGACATTAAGGGAGAGGTTCTTTGACAAGGACACGCCTTAATGTTTGTTTATCTTTCCATCTTTCTTGATCTCCCTTTCTCTGACTTTCTCATTTCTATTCCTTTTTTTACACTGTTTGTGTTGTTGTCGTTTAATCATGAACAATATAAAATGGATCCAATTGGTTCCATATTGATTAGTCGCTTTTTGCCTTCGATCTTTTTGTAATTGTTATTTTTTTTATTATTTTTATGTCATTTTTTCTTTCATTCTTTCCATATTGATTTCTTTCTTTTTCATTTTGTTTTTTTCTGACCGTATAGACATCGTTCTTTCTTTTGCTTTGTTTTCTTTACTTGTTAACGTATTCTCTCCTTCTTTCTTAATTTCTTTTCTTTCTTTCTTTCTTTATTTATTTATTTATTTTTCTTACTTTTCTTCATATTTCTCATCAACGTGTTGTTTTGTTTATTTATTTTTCATGTTTTTCTTTTTGATTTAAATCTTATTCTCGGCTGGTCTTTGCTTTTCCCTCCTCCTTCCCACTTTCTTTGTTTATACGATTTTTTTAATCAATTTTTAAAACTTTTTTTTCTTTTCAT